TATCATGGGAGATGGGACAGGTGTGGGTAAAGGAAGACAGGTAGATATCATGGGAGATGGGACAGGTGTGGGTAAAGGAAGACAGATATCATGGGAGATGGGACAGGTGTTGGTAAAGGAAGACAGGTAGATATGACAAAGAGAATATTGCATAAAGTTACGGACTTATTTGAAGACAAAATTCTATATTTAATTTCTCACATGTATATATTTAATTTCTCACATTTCCTACATGTAAATGTTGTAAGCACCGAAAACTTGGCACAAATAGAAACATTTTCATTAGAAAATATATGCATTTAAAACAAGCAAACAAAAATTATTGCACAGCTTTTGTGTTTGTTTCTTCAAGTATTTGCTTATAGTGCATTTCATGTTCTCAGGCATTTCAAAATTTGTGGTAAAATGAAGCATTCATATTAACTGAGTGATGAAATCAACTGGTAAGATGTATTGAAACAAATGAGGATTTATGGTATCTTACCTTACATCTCCAGATAGCCGGGATTCTCCTGGACAACTTTGCTCGTGGTAGAAACAAACACATCTGGTTCAGTATCTCTACAGATCTGATTGTAGATGCTAGAAGGTATCTTATAGTAAATTATTTTAAAAAATTATGTCACTAATAATTGAAAGGTCCTTGAAAACATTGGTTTTTAGATATATACATGAAATATTCATAACTGTACACATGAAAATTCTATTTGATATTTTATTTATTTGTTATTTATTTATTTATTTATTTATTTATTAAATAATACAATATATTGTTCTTTGTGTTATTATATACACAACTGTTGAAACTGAATTTTGTTACAATCTTTGCAGTTAAAAATATATTTATAGAAAAAAACTTAAGTATTCTGATTCAGAACATCAGCCCTTAACGCCCTGTACATCGTGTCTCCATCAATATAATATATTTTACTGATTTATGTAGGGATCTGACTGACATAGGCTGCCACGTGAAGGTCATTGAAGGCTGTCAGCAACTGGACAGAGAAACAAGGTAGATGAAATAGAGCAAGGACCTGTTTACAACAAGGCCAGTTATTCCCAGCCATTTACTATGTTCTTGTCTAAGTTGGTACTGATGTGAACTTGGCCTTTAAGGTAAAGGGGTGAAGTTTTGATACAAAATTCTCCAAGAAAAGGGGAATCAATTTTTGTATTGATGCTAAAACCTTTTTATAACATTTTGACCAATTGTAATGTATAAATCACATCGTTGTATTATTTTAGTATTTAATTATTATTTCCAGAGTTCTTGGTCTGCCAGCAGGGTTTAAAGAAGGAGTCATCTTCAGTACTTATGCAACACTGGTGTCATCTGTGCAGAAAGGTATAGAGCTAGTGTACATCCTTTCAGGGTCTTACCACAAAAATTATTGTCATTCAAAAAAATCTGTTTAATATTTATTAGATGTTGAATGTAATATATGATACTGATCCTGCCATTCCCATTACATTATTGAGATTTTCCAAAAAGTGCTATTTTGGAGCATTTCTTGACCTTGGTATACTTATATTTATTGAGTTTATTTTTACTATTTTGCTTCCTTAAGTGGCAGTTCTTATTGAGTTTATTTTTACAATTTGCCCCCTAGGTGGCAGTTCAAAGCAATCCAGGCTTAAACAGCTGGTGGATTGGTGTGGGGGAGAGGACTTTGATGGATGCCTCATATTTGATGAATGCCACAAAGCAAAAAATTTTGTCCCTGTAAGTTTACAAAAATGTTTCTAGACAGATCTCTGAGTTAGAGAAAGGTACTTAAAATATTTTTCATGAAGGCTGATTTTGTAAGCTTTGAACATAAGACACATGTCTGTCTCAATTTGTGTACCTCATACTAGTAGACTGCATATACTATCTTATTCCTTGATGATTTCACTATTTTAGGGCAAAGAGCAAGCCAGCACCAAGGTGGCCATGGCAGTTGTCACAGTGCAGAGGTAGCCAGGGTTGAATTAATTGACAGATTTATTTTCTTATCTAAGAGTGAAAATTGAAAATTTTCATCATAATAGTTTAAGTATAATCAGATTGATTCATGTAAATGAATTTTGAAAGAAAATGTTTCCTTCATTTGTACAGAATTTAGTTTTTATTATACATGATCTACATGTATTTGCAATTATCTACTTGTTTTAGGGCATTATTTTCCAAATAGTTAGTTCTTTGTTAAAACATCCTGTGAATCAATGTTCTTTGATTAAGTTTCACATTTCACTGCTTATATAATTAGTGTAATTGTCAGACTGATTATCTCTGCATTCTAGGTTATTGAGGGTAATTTAACTATTATCTCTACATTGTAGGTTATTGCCAAAAGCTCGTGTAGTGTATTGTAGTGCCACGGGTGTCACTGATGTTAAGAACATGGTGTGTATTTTGAATGGTCTCTTTGACCTTAGTAAGGATTGAAAACCATTTGATTGAACCTTATATGATGCTTGACAACTAAATATATTAAAATGAAGGACTCTTTTTTATATATCATTTTATATTAATTTAGGTGTGATTTGTTGTAATAAGACAGTTGTTTTCAGGGATGGGATTTTGTTTCTTTTTAATGGATTAAACAAATGTTGTAATAAGTAAACTTAAAAGAATAGCATGATTTTGCCAAAAATTCAGAAAACAGTAGTTTGTTTCCAACCTCTTTTGTATTCCCAGTGTCTACTTTTAAACTTGATTCGTCATTTTTTTTCTTTTCTTCCTTATTTGATGTAATTTATGTAACTGTTCAGGCATTTATGGAGAGGCTTGGACTGTGGGGAGATGGAATGCCTTTCAAGTCATTTGAACACTTTATGGAGTCTGTGCACAGAAAGGGGCTGGGTATGTATTAAATTTGAACACTTTATGGAGTCTGTGCACAGAAAAGGGCTGGGTATGTATTTTATTTGAACACTTCATGGAGTCTGTGCACAGAAAAGGGCTGGGTATGTATTTTATTTGAACACTTCATGGAGTCTGTGCACAGAAAAGGGCTGGGTATGTATTTTATTT